GATTTCCAATGTCTATATTGAGTCCATGAGTTTATGTGTGTCCTGAGTCTATCTGTTTCTGTATCAGTATAAGTGAGCTACATCTATATAACTTTAAACCTGACTGAAACAGAGTTAAAGTTACAGTGATTTATTTCTAGTGAATTCTAGCTCCTGAAACTAACGTCTAGATTGTTCAGTCATGTGCAGGCAACTAGTTCACATGTCCCTTTTGTGACAGCAGAAAGAAGAGATCGTGATGCTACTACTCACCTTTTCTGTAATTTCGTACTGGGAGATGTTGGTCTTCTTCAACTGGAGAGGCCCACCTCCCAGAAGACTGCACTGGCCATTAGCCTATAGGCTATTCTTAGGGAATGGACATGGCACCCTCCTTGCTCCTGTGAAGTTGAGCCACCGGGCAGAGAAGAATGTATTGAAGCAGAGAGAGTGTAAGAACACACAAAATACTGACATGGCAGATGTGTACTTGAAACCTTTCCAGTAGAGGAGGGAATTGAACTGGAGTCTCCTACGGTTCAATTCTAGTCTTTCTAGGCTATGATATAGATTTCATAAATTTCATAGACATTCAGGCTGGAAGGGACCCCGGAGGATCATCGAGTCCAGCCCCCTGCCCCAGCGTCAGGAAGTCAGCAGGGATCATAGGATCCCAGCAAGAGAAACATCCAAATGTGTCTTGAAGGCATTCAAAGTGGGTGCTTGAACACCTCTGGCGGCAGTCTATTCCAAACCTTGGGGACTCAGACAGTAAAGTAGTTCTTCCTTATGGCCAACCTGAATTGGTCGCAGAGGAGTTTGTGACCATTCAATCTCGTCAGCCCTTGGGATGCTCTGGTGAACACATGTTCCCCCAGATCCTGGTGAACACTACTGATAAACATATGGCTGGCCACCAGATATCCCCTGAGCCTGCGCTTTTCCAGGCTGAAGAGCCCCATGGCTCTCAGCCTCTCGTCATAAGATCTGTTATCCTGACCTCTGATCATGCGCATGGCTCTCCTCTGCACTGTCTCAAGCTTCTCCATATCCTTTTGAATTGTGGAGCCCAAAACTGGATGTAGTACTCCAGCTGTGGCCTCACCAAGGCCGAGTACAATGGGAGAATGACATCACAGGATTTGCTTGAGCAGCATCTATGGATGCAAGCCAGCGTTTTGCTCGCTTTACTAGCCACAGCATCACATTGAAGGCTCATGTTCATCTTGTGGTCAATGATGACCCCCAAGTCCCTTTCATCTGTAGTGCTAACCCACGTAGCACTGCCAAGCCTATAAGCATACTACAGGTTTTTCCTCCCAAGGTGGGGAACCTTGCATTTTTCGGTGTTGAAAACCATCAGGTTCTCATCTGCCCATTTCCTGAGCCTGTCAAAATCTGTCTAGATCACCCTCTTGTCCTCAGGTGTGGATGCTTTACCCCAGAGTTTGGTGTCATCGGCGAACTTGGCCAGTCTGTTTCTGATACCAATATCTGTATCATTCATGAAGATGTTAAAAAGTATAGGACCTAGAACAGAGCCCTGAGGAACCCCACTGGTCACCGCACACCACGACAATTGACTTCTGTTGGCCAGCACCCTCTGGGTCCTGCCGTGGAGCCAATTCCCCAGCCAGTGGATCGTGGTGAGGTCGAGGCCACAGTTAGCCAGTTTTGCCAAGAGGTGATCATGGGATACCAGATTGAAGGCTTTTTTAAAGTCAAGATATATGACATCAATCGCTCCCCCCTTGTCCAAGTGACAGGTCACCTGGTCGTAAAAGGAAATGAGATTGGTTGAGCAAGACCTACCCACAACAAACCCATGGTAGGTATCCCTCAGGATAGTGCTGTCAGCTAGTCTGTTAAGGATGGCCTCTTTCATAATCTTTTCCAAGACCTCCCCCAGGATAGAGGTCAGGCTGATGGGTCTGTAGTTTGCCAGATCTGCTTTCCTCCCTTTCTTGAAGATAGGCACCACATTGGTCTTCCAATCTTCGGGCACTTCACCAGAGCACCAGGCGTTCTCAAAGATCTGTGCCTGGGGCTGAGCTATATAAAAGGGTAGTACCACTTCCTCCTCCACCAATACTTTATAAGAATAATCTCTGTTCATTTTTTTTAAATAAGTATCTGAGCTCATTTGCATAGGAGCAGTCTGGGCTGTGATCCCCAGTGGACATTAGGCACATTTATGCAACCCTAGTAAAGCATTTGGGAGGTGGGACTTCAGTCGCATCCTTGTCACCAATTTCCTACTGGTGAGCTCTAGGCCACTACAAGATCTGCTGGCTTTTTTGTGTGCCATTCCAAGGCATCTAACTCTCTCCCTGCACTGTCTAGGGTCACCTAATACAGGGTTGTGAATCCCCCTATAGAGGCCAAGAACATAAAATGTAGGCTTTGCAATGTTTTACTTTTAGGTACTTAAGCCTGTTCATGAATCTAGTCCAGGCTTGTCCAACATACGGAGCGCAGTTCTGAGGCCTGAGGTCCCTCGCTTAGGACAGGCGGGTGGGGGAGGGGAGGGGAGCTGCTTAACCCCACGGGGCCAGGTTCGCGTGACCTCCCATGTCATGTGAGCTGGGTCCTGCTGCTGCCCTGAGGGCTGTGCGGCGTGGGGCTGCCCCAGCTGTGCTTGACGGGATGAGCTGGGGACAACGCCTTAGAACCGCTGGCATGGGCATGGCTGGGCTGAGTAGACAGCAGGATGGCCAGACATGCCCCCCTCATCCTGCCCCAGGACCTCCAGCACCCCACTGGCCCCAGCACATGCCCCCTGGGCGGACAGGAGGGGAGCCCCCAGCACACAGGGCCAGCGGGGGCCGCACTGGGCATGGGGGCAGTGCTTGGCCTGGCTCAGAGGGCATGGGGCAAGATGCAGAGGCAAGAGCATAGCCCCAGTCCACTGCCCCCATCGCCCTGGGGTCAGGACTTTGTCTGGGGCTGTGGGGGCGGTGGCAGTGCAGTCCAGTGGGGCGCAGGGACCCAGAAGACGCTTGGCCAGTGCTGGTGCTGTGGCCTCCCCGGGCCGGGAACTCTGCTAGGTCCCAGTGCCCTGTGCCCGCCAGACGCGCCTCACCACCTGCGGCCCAGGACAGGCAGGTACCGACCCTGCCATGGGGGCTGCGGCCGCAGGCAGAGCTAGCTGGGGCACGGAGAGGCGGCCCTGCGTGGGTGGGCAGCTAGGGGAGGCTCACACAGAAGGGCATGCACCCCCTCTGCACTCCGCAGACGGCAGGGCAGGGGCAGGGTGTACATATGCATACACACACAGGCAGGGGCAGGGATGATGGACAGGCAGGCAGGCAGCGTCCAGGGGTGAGCACAAGTGTGCACACACGTGTACACACACCCACGCACTCAGAAACACACATGCATGCACATATGCGCATGTGCACACCCACCTCCACACACACACACTCACACACACAAAGTTGTGGGCACTACATGCGCATTCATTCTCCTGTACACCCCGGGCCATATAGACCCAGAGGAACAAATGCTCAAGGTGAAGCAGCACTACCCACATGGTGGCACATGCAGGGACTGTCATGTCACTCACACACCTAGGCATATCTGCACAGACACTCCTGCTGCCCTGGAGTCACCTGCCATGCATGCACAATCACAGCAGCCCTATGGCGTCACACACCTTGCAGAGAGTGGGCCCAGAGTATGCAGTGGTGCACTCACAGGCACTCACAATTATGCTTACATAGTTGTGCCCAACCACGCATGCAGCACCGATTCCTGCACAGTTGGGAGGCGTATACAGCTTAGAACTACACACAATTGAGCAACGCCATCACAGTCACACCAGCAGAGAGCTTCTCTAGTACCCATGAACTTAGCCTTGCTGAATCAGTTGCTGCTCTACACAACTCCACATAACAATAATTAAGCAGTTACTTATTTGCACCACACTTCTGAAGACAGTGACACAGAAATAGGCACACAGATGTGATACTGCGCGCGCACACACACACAAACATACAATTGCACAGTGCTGACACTTAGCTCTCACACATGTGTACACATGCACGCACATACACATGCATCTGAGCTCTGCCCCCCTTCTCTCTTCCTGGCTAGTGCAGGGCCAAGGGGGAACTCCATGGGCAGAGATGCCTGCCCCAGCCTCCAGCCTGAGTGCAAATGAATTAGGGTTAGTGTGGACCCAGTTGGACAGGGCAGGGGAAGTTGAGGTAAGAAGGAAGGCAGGCTGGGGATAGCGGCTATGTGCTGCTGCAAGATGGAACTAGGATGCTCTGGGAGGGGAAACAAGGTCTGGTGGCTTAGAGCAGGGGGCCTGGGACTTTTACCTAATCATGCCTTGGGGTCCTGGCTGTAGGGGAACACTCCACTGTGGTTTGGAATGGAAGAGACCAGGTGGACACTTCTACTGCTCACCATCTCTCCACCCCCAAAGTGATGCTCAGGTAGATCAGGCTTGTTCAACATACAGCCTGCGGGGTGACAAAATATGAATATGGCTCACCTGCCCACTGGGTGATAAAAAGTTCATGATTCGGCTCCACATTCAAAAAGGTTGGACACCCCTGGTCTAGTCCATCCTGCCTGGCCTGACCAGGGAACTACACCATTGCATGTGAGTAATAATAGCTATGCTGATTTAAAATTACAAAAGTGCTGCTTATGCCTAATGATTTCATATGGACTGTAGTCTAAACAACCAATGCCAATGACAAAGAAAGCGCACACCACATCTGAATGGGATCATGACACAGGCTTTCTGAGAATTCACAGAAATTGACTTTGACTAATTACAAAGATTAATAAATTAGTCTTTGTAATTTGCATGCTGGTATAGACAACGTTGTGCTGGCCTTCCCCTATTGGAGAAGGCCAGCGCAGAACACAAAAAGACATTGTCCTTGTGACTGACAGTTTATAATGGAAGACCCAATCCTGTAACCACTTAGGGCTAGTTCCACAGGACTACTCATTGCAATACCCAATCTCCGGGTGCCATGCCACCTAGAGGAATCTTCATTCCCAAGTTAGGTGCCCAAGCACCACTCTAGTTTCATAGTTTCATTGTCGGTAGGTTCGGAAGGGACCTAAGCAGATCATCAAGTCCGACCCCCTGCCCTGGGCGAGAAAGAAGGCTGGCGTCACCTAGTTGATTATCTAGCCTCCTTTTGAAGACCCCCAGGGTAGGAGCAAGCACCACTTCCCTTGGAAGTTCATTCCTGACTGTGAAGTACTGCCTCGTGATGTCTAGCCTAAATCTACTCTCATTCAACTTATGACCGTTATTCCTTGTTACTCCCGGTAGTGCTCAGGGGAACAGGGACTCTGCTTAGCCTGCTTAGCCCCCTTGGCAAGTTTACAGATGGCCACCAGATCCCCTCTCAGCCTTCTTTTGTGGAGGCTGAACAGGTTCAAGTTCCGTAGCCTCTCCTCGCAGGGCCTACCCTGCTGCCCCCAGATCATGTGAGTGGCCCGCCTCTGGACCCTTTCGATGCTGTCCAAATCCCTCCTGAAGTGCGGCATCAAGAACTGGACACAGTACTCCAACTGCAGCCTGACCAGTGTCGCATAGAGGGGAAGGATCACCTCCTTGGACCTGCTCGTTATGCATCTATGGATCCATGACAAGGTGCGGTTAGCCTTCCTGACCGCGTCCCCACATTGGTGCCCCATGTTCATCTTGGAATCAGTAGTGACTCCAAGATCCTTTTCTGCCTCTGTACTGACAGGAAGGGATTTCCCTAGCCTGTAGGTATGCTGCTGGTTCTTCCTCCCCAGGTGCAGTACCTTGCACTTGTCCGTATTGAAACCCATTCTATTCTCATCCGCCCACCTCTGTAACCTGTCCAGATCTAGTTGTAACCTGTCCTTCTCTTCCAGCGTGCCCACTTCTCCCCACATCTTAGTGTCATCCGCAAATTTGAACAAGGTGATTGTTACTCCCTCCTCCAAGTCACTGATGAAGATGTGGAACAGTGCAGGCCCAAAGACCGAGCCCTGGGGAACTCCACTGCTCACATCCGTCCAGCCAAAAAATGACCCATCCACCACCACACTTTAGGTGCAGCCCTCCAGCCAATTTGCAACCCATCTGACTGTGTAGGCATCGACACCACAGTCGCCTAATTTTTTAATGAGGATGGGGTGAAAAACAGTGTCAAAGACCTTCCTAAAGTCCAGAAAGACTACGTCCACCACGACACCTGCATCCAGATTTTGTGATCTGGTCACAGAAGGCCACCAGGTTGGTCTGACAGGACCTGCCTCTAATGAACCCATGTTGATTGCCCCTAAGCATAATCTCCCCTGCTGGTCCCTCACAGATGTGCTCCTGGATAATTTTTTCAAAGAACTTTCCCAGGACTGAGGTAAGACTAACAGACCTATAGTTTCCTGGGTCCTCTTTCCTCCCTTTTTTGAAAATGGGGACCACATTGGCACTTTTCTAGTCCTCTGGCACCTCTCCAGAGCACCATGAATGCTCGGAAAGCTGTGCCAGGGGTCCCGCAATGACCTCTGCCAATTCCCTCAGCACTCTGGGGTGGAGATCATGAGGACCTGCTAATTTGAACATGTCTAGTCCCACCAGAAGTTCCCTGACCAGGTCCTCGCTGACCCTGGGCCTGGCTGCGCCTCCCCTGGGTCAATCCAGGATCCCAGTGGGGGAGATGTCCTTGTCCCTGCTCAGAAAAATGGAAACAAAGAATCTTAAACAGGTTAGCTTTGTTGTCTGGTGTGACCACCAGATTTCCAAGCATGTCCTGCAGAGGCCCCATGTTACTTGGTACCTTCTTTTTAGCCGCTATGTATTTAAAAAAGGACTTCTTGTTATCTTTGATCTGGGTCGCTAGTCCCAGTTCCATCTCTGCCTTAGCCTTCCTAACAGCCCCCCTACAATCTCAAGCAATGGAGGTATAATCCTCCTTGGTGATGGCCAAGTGGATCTACAAATGGATGAGGAGAGCTAGGCACCTACGAATGTGATCCTCAGGCACTACAGGAGGAACTTCCTAAGTCAGCCAGTAGGAATGCAGAGAAGGGCAGGGCCTACGCTGTATGTCTGAGAAGTAGTGGGGAGTCAAGCTCTGAGCTGGGGGAGATGTACCCATCTCTACCTGGGCTTCCATCATCCCTGAACTATTTCCTAGAGATTCAAAAAAGTATAAGTGCTGAAACTCCAATTGAGATCCCTTTGTGAATCAAGCCCTGTATCTATGGGAGGGTTTATGGCTGAGAATCCCACATTAGTCCAGTAGGAGTTTAGCCACTCAAGGTGCCTGTACCCTACTTGAATCTGGTCCCTAATGTCTCTACCATGCCTTTCCTTCCTCACAAAAGTGAGCCCATGATAGTCAATAGACCCCTCATGTTAGGAGTCAGGGCCACAGGCAGGCTAATTAGTCCCAGTTGTTCCTGATTACTGAAGTGGCCCTATTACCTCTAGCTCATCCCAGTTATTTGCAGGGGCCTGGCAACCCCAAGGCAACTCCAGGGCTCTTCCTGACCGTCGAGTGTGCCTCTGCTTATCTTCTGCCCCAACTTACTCTAGGACTCTGCTCGCCCACTCTAGGTGTTTATACACATGCTCCGGGAATGGGGGGAAGAGGAACATTTTAATTAGAGCTGTTCTAATTAAAGCACTTGGAAAGTCTAGTGTATCAGAGTCCATGACCTTAAAAATGGTGGCAGGGGCACTTTAACTACAGCTCATTGAATGAGCTTTAATTAAAGTGCCCCCACCACCATTTTTAAGCCTGGGGATGCTGATACACACGATGCTGGAGTTGGCTGGACCAAAGTAATTGCCATGCTCCAGCAGACCTAATTAATCAAGTCTCGCTGCTTGTGTATAGGTGCCCTCTGACTTCAGCTTTAACTCTGCAACCCCAGTTCTGACACTGGCTCTCCTACCCAGTAAGACTGACTGACCCCCAGTTGGGTCTGACAGCCCTTATCCTGGTGCTGACTGAATGCCAGCAGTCACCTGAAGGGTGGAAGGGCACTGACTGTTACAAGTTTTGCTTGCCAGCAGCTTGAGGTACACTGTCTCAGAACCCCTGCACCTATCTCCTTGAAACCTGGCAGGCTTCATGCCTTCAGAAGGGGCTACCATCCCTGGTGTTTTCATCCTGCTGCACCTTAACACACACACACACACACACACACACAC